TGGTCGATTTAGGCTCGTTTAGAATAGACTTGTTCGTCAAAGTATTGTCTATGAGTTGCTGGATTTGATAGTCAATCGTATATGTTCACTCTCTTGTTACGAAGAGTTATTGAGAGTGAACCTCTAAACAAGAGACGATTCACTTCCTTTAACCGAGCAATTGATTGCCGGTAGTTGTGTAAGAACCGAAAGCAGTTGTCCCCGATTCCCTAGCTCTTTAAATTCTCAGTTAATTCGTTACTGTTCATCTCGTGCTTTATTTAATTTAAAGTTGGTAGTTGATAATTGAAACCCAAATCATTGAATTAGAGTGTTTAGGATTTTTATCTTCTTTTGTGATTGAATAATCGAACAAAATAATCCGGCTAACCTTCCTTGAGACACAACCCGGTGTTCGAATCTTTTGATTTAACTCCGGTAAAAAGAACAACAACAAAATGGCGCCGTTGCCGGGGAAGGTTTAGGACTTATAATTGTGCGCTTATTCATCTTATTTCTTGTGATTTTCATTGTTTCCGTGTTTCTCTTGATTTCTTTTTATTTGTTAGGTGTTAATTCGTGTTTTATTTTGTTTTTATCATTGGTGCTCGTAACCCTTGTTGGTCTTAGTGTATGCGTACCAGGAGTGGACGCAAATTGCTATCTCCGATCAACAAATCAGTCAACGAGAGCCTGAGGGAGCTGCTGGAAGAGCTGACTCTCGAGTCTAACGAAGGAAACGAGCACTCCCCGAAATCGCCTGAGGGCAGTAACGTCAACATGGATGAGCAACAGCAACAACCGCCTCGTAACACCCTCCGAACCTTGGCCCAGCCGGTTATCGGGCCAGTCACTTCGTGTATCTGTTTACCAGAGCCCGCACGGAATTATGAGCTAAAAATGATTCATTACAACCAGCTGCCGGCATTCCATGGGCTCCCGAGCGAAGACCCGCTTAACTTCATCCGAGAATTCTACAATGTCCTCAACACTTTCCCCCTGAACGGGCTGAATGAGGACTAGTTAAAGATGAGGTGTTTCCCCGAGACACTGAAGGACCGGGCCAAGGCCTGGTTCATGACACTTGCACCGGCATCTCTGACCACCTGGACCGAGGTTTACACGAAGTTTATTGGGAGGTACTACTCCCATCAGAAGACTCAGGAGCTCCGGTCACAGATCGTCTCGTTTGCCCAACTACCGAATGAGCCTCTTCACGAGGCCTGGGAGCGATTCAAGGATCTCCAGCGACAGTGTCCCCACCACAATCTTTCACCGGGACTACTAATGAATTGCTTCTACGACTCCCTCAACCAGAATTTGCAATACATGGTTGACAACACTGCAGGGGGAGACATCGGTGCGAAGACAGCCGAAGAGATGTATGAGATTTTTGAGACGATGAGTGCTAATTCGTCTCAAAAGAGCAATCGAGGGAAGAGGGTCGTGGTCAACGAGGTATCTTCTGCTCAAGATATGATGGCCCAGTAAATAGCCGAACTCACCGAGCAAATGCGGCTAATGAATGCACGAGGAGGCCAGTCCATGCATACCATGGCAGTAGACACATGTGGAGCATGTGGAGTTCAGGGGCATAGATCCGAGGTGTGCCCATCGGCGTTTGACCAGGAGGTCGGAGAACAATATACAGACGTCAACGCTCTCCAAGGTTACCAAAACCGGCAACCCAATGACCCCTATTCCAACACATACAATCCCGGGTGGAGAAATCACCCAAATCTCTCGTGGTCCAACAACAACAATACTCTCCAGCCACCTCGTCCGAACTTCAACCAACAGCAGCCCCGCCCAAACTTCATGCAACAGCAGAACCGTCCCAACTTCATTCCCCGTCCGAGCTACCAACAACAACAGCAACCACAACAGCAAGTCCAAGGGTCCGGTTCGAGTTCGTCTAGCCAGGATGACAAGCTAGATAAAATCCTTCAGTTCATTACCAACCAGGACTCATCGATCAAACGCTTGGAAACCCAAGTGGGCCAGCTGGCTACTCGGGTGGGCAATATCGAGTCTGAAGCAGACAAGGGAAAGTTGCCTAGCCAACCTAAGGAGGCCCAGGCAATCACAGTGTTGAGAAGCGGGAAAGTGGTCGATAACCGGGTAGAGATGCCAGGTCCGTCGGATCAGTCCGAGGAGCTTAAACTGACTAAGGAGGCGGAAGAGAATCTCGAAAATTCCAAGGAAGCTGATTCGGAGAAACCGGCGGATGGCCCACTGTTGCACAAATCCCCAAATCCATATAAGCCACGCATACCTTTTTCGAGCCGGCTTCGGAATGAGAAGCAGGAGAAGCAATTTCGAGACCTTTACACCATGCTCTCGAAGGTCAATGTGAATTTGCCGCTGCTTGATGTGATAAAGAACATGCCATCCTACGTCAAGTTCTTCAAGGACTTGGTCACTAAGAAGAGGAGGTTCGAGGACGGAGAAAAGGTAGTGGTCTATGAGGCGGCAAGCGCAATGCAGCACGACTTGCCGAAGAAGGAACGTGATCCCGGGGGTTTCGTCATCAAAATTGCCCTCGGGAATGGGAAAGAGGCTTCGGGGATGCTAGACCTCGGAGCGGGGATCAATCTCATGCCATTTTCCATCTACCAGCGGCTCGGCCTCGGAGATTTGAGGCCAACTCGAATGTGTCTACAGCTTGCCGACCGATCAATCAGATACCCCAAGGGAATCATAGAGGATATTCTTGTTCGTGTGGGAAAGCTTATCGTCCCGGTAGACTTCGTGGTCCTAGATGTGGGGGACGTGCAGGAGAACGGGAAGGACCATACCATCCTTCTAGGCAGACCATTCATGGCCACCACCAACACCCTCATAGATGTGAAGCACGGTACGTTGAACATGACAGTCTTAGGCGAGTCCGTATCTATTTCTGTTCGAGAGGCCACTTCCGCACCCTCCGTGAACTTTGTGGAGGAGTGCGCCTTTATCGATGTGATGGACCCGTTCGTTGAGGAGATGACGGTTCGGGAGTTTGAAGAAAGGTTGATGCCCGATTTGGAGGATGACGAAGGGCCAACGGTAGAGCTCTATGAAGTCGAGGAGTACCGTGCAACAATCCCATCTCCACTAGAGCTTAAGGAGCTTCCCCGACACCTCAAGTATGTTTTCCTTGATGATGAGAAGAAAAAGCCAGTGATCATCTTTGCCGAGCTAAACCAAGACGAGGAACGAGAGCTTCTTGACGTGCTTAAGAGGAATCAAAAGGCCATCGGGTGGAGTCTCGGAGATATCAAGGGCATTAGTCCGGCCACATGCATGCACCGGATAATCTTAGAAGAAGGGGCCAAGCCGTTCCGCGATAGCCAACGACGACTCAACCCGAACATGATGGAGGTCGTGAAGAAGGAGGTATTGAAGCTCTATTCCGAGGGGCTTATATACCCGGTGGCGGATAGTGAGTGGGTCAGTCCCATTCACGTGGTGCCGAAGAAAGGAGGGATAACCGTGATCGAGAACGAGAAAAAAGAGATGGTCCCCACCCGTATCACTACCGGGTGGCGAATGTGTATAGACTACCGGCGACTCAATGCCGTGACGAAGAAGGACCACTTCCCATTGCCCTTTATTGATCAAATCCTGGACCGTCTCTCAGGCCATCAGTACTATTGCTTCCTTGACGGACTATCGGGCTACTATCAAGTAGCCATCGCCCCGGAGGATCAGCCCAAGACGACTTTCACGTGCCCATTCGGCACCTTCGCTTTCAGACGCATGCCGTTCGGCCTTTGCAACGCACCCGGGACCTTCCAACGGTGCATGTTCTCCATATTCTCCGACATGCTCGAGGACTGCTTACAGGTATTTATGGATGACTTCTCTATTTTTGGCACTTCATTTTCTAATTGTCTCCATAACTTATCTCGTGTCCTTGAGAAATGCATTGAAAGTAATTTGACCTTGAGTTGGGAGAAAAGTCACTTCATGGTGACGAGTGGAGTTGTGTTGGGTCATGTGATATCTAGTCGTGGAATTGAAGTTGATAAGGCGAAAATTGATGTGATTGAAAAACTCCCTCCTCCTGTGAATGTTAAGGGCGTTAGAAGTTTTCTGGGTCATGCTGGCTTTTATAGGAGATTTATTAAAGACTTTTCGAAAATTAGCCAGCCTTTGTGTCACTTGCTTGCTAATGATGTGCCTTTTGTGTTCGATGATGCATGTGTAGATGCTTTCGATAAATTGAAACATAAGCTTGTGACTGCTCCTATTGTTGTTGCTCCTGATTGGTCGTTGCCATTCGAGATTATGTGTGATGCTTCGAACCTTGCTGTGGGCGCCGTTTTGGGTCAACGAGTTGATAAATTACTTCGTGTGATTTATTATGCTAGTTTGACCCTTAATGGAGCTCAACTTAACTACACGACCACCGAAAAAGAGCTCTTAGCCGTAGTGTTTTCTCTTGAAAAATTTAGATCATACATCTTAGGGTCTAAAGTGATTATTCATTCTGATCATGCTGCTTTGAGATATCTTTTGAGCAAGACTCAATCCAAACCACGGCTCATTCGGTGGATTTTACTTTTGCAAGAGTTCGATGTAGAAATTCGTGATAGGAAAGGGTCGGAAAATGTGGTAGCCGACCATTTGTCTCGTATCATCCCGTCTGATCTTTCACCTCATTTACTTGACAATAATATCGATGATAGTTTTCCGTACGAGCATGTGAGTGAGGCTTCTAGTGTTCCTTGGTATGCTGATATCGTGAATTATTTGTCAGATGGTGTTTTGTTGTCTAACCTCTCTTCCCAAGAGAGGAAACGCTTTGTGTTGATGTGTAGGAGTTACTTTTGGGATGACCCGTTGCTTTTCAAACTGGGAAAAGACGGATCCTTCGGAGGTGTGTGCCTGAAGAGGAACAGCTGGATGTCCTTGCCTTTTGTCACGAGTTTCAATGTGGAGGCCATTTTGGAGGCCGAAAGACGGCTCTCAAGGTTCTCCAATCAGGTTTGTTTTGGCCAACTCTCTTTAAGGATGCTCATAATTTTTGCAAGTCTTGTGATCGTTGCCAAAGAATGGGAAACATTGGTCGTAGAAATGAGATGCCCCTTGTGAACAATTTACAAGTCGAAATTTTTGATGTTTGGGGCATTGATTTTATGGGACCGTTTCCCAAATCTTGTGGCTTTGAATATATTTTACTTGCCGTAGATTACGTGTCCAAGTGGGTCGAGGCTATCCCCACAAGGACATGTGATGCTAATGTGGTTGTCAAGTTTTTGCAAGGATATATATTGAGCAGGTTCGGATTTCCACGGGCCATTGTGAGTGACGGGGGCAAGCATTTTTGCAACCGGATTTTCGAGAAGTTGATGAAAAAGTATGGCATTTCACACAAAGTGGCCACCCCGTATCATCCACAAACATCGGGCCAAGCCGAGACGAGTAACAAGCAGATCAAGTCCATTTTAGAAAAGACAGTGAACTCTTCCCGAAAAGATTGGTCCAGTCGACTCGATGATGCTCTATGGGCTCAACGTACAGCTTACAAGGGAGTCTTGGGGATGAGCCCGTTCCGACTCGTGTACGGAAAAGCGTGTCATTTGCCGGTTGAGATTGAACACAAGGCATTTTGGGCGATTAAGAAAATGAATTTTGATCTAGATGCCGCCGGGAAAGAGAGGCTGTTGCAACTCTCGGAATTGGAGGAATGGCGACACGAGGCCTACGAGAACTCCAAAATCTACAAGGACAAAGTCAAGAAGCTTCACGACGCTAATATTGTTCGAAAGAATCTCGTGCCCGGTATGAAGGTGCTTTTATATAACTCCCGACTTCGTCTTTTTCCGGGAAAACTCAAGTCCCGGTGGAGTGGGCCATATATTGTTGACGAAGTTTTGACTCTTGGAGCTGTCCAACTTCGAAACCCGGCTAATGGTGAGTTATTTGTGGTGAATGGACAACGAGTGAAGCCGTATTTCGATGGAGAATTCGGAAAAAGCCATGTCGAGACGATCAGTCTCGGCGATCCAGCGTACGTCTGAGCAAGAATGTGCCGAGCTCGAGGCATTAAATCGAGCACTCTTGTACCTGATGTATTTTATTATTCATAAAAAAAAACAAAAAAAAGAAAAAAAAAAAAGGTCGAAATCAGTTACTAGCGCCGCTAGGCCGTAGCTAGCGGCGCTAAGGTGATGTTAGCGCCGTTAAGTGCTTGTTAGCGGTGCTAGTTCGGGAACTGCGGAAAACGCCCCAGGTCGCTAGGCCTCTTAGCGCCGCTAGCCTCTCCTAGCGCCGCTAGGGGTGTGTTAGCGGTGCTAACCCCTGAGCAGATATAAAAAAAAAAACATCGAACACGTTCTAAAAACATCGGGCATTTATACGGGGCTCACAATTTCTAAACAACATATCTCTCAATTTCTCTCGAGCGCTCCTCCGGCCCCCGCCTAGTCAACTCCGGCGACCGACGACTCCAGTCCGGCGAGGCCATCTCCGTTTGCTTCACCTCCTTCCACTCCTCCTTTTGGGTTAATCAAGGTCGTCCGAACCCTAGCTCGTGGGGTGCTCGAATTCCAGCCAAATTCTCGGGTTCAAGGTACAATAGCTTCCCCTAATTTTGATATTGTTGATTGTTGAGGCAAGAGGAGGCCTACTCCGGGTCGTGGCATCATCAACTTCTTCAAACTCCTCAAATAGTCTAGTGTGCACGCCGAGTGTTTGATAATTTGCCTCAGAGAAGGTACAATGCCGAGAACGAGGGGCAACACATCGAAGAACACCCGTTCGACGTCAGGAGCTGGGGCCAGGGCCTCATCGAGTATTGCCAACCCTCCTACGGCTCCTGCCGTGCCCTGCTTGTCCCAACAATACGGCGTTCCTTTTCACGTCGTTTCTGCTCAGGAGGTGGAGGACTACAAGCGGCTCCTCTCGAAGCCGCTCACCGCTCCCCGAGACCTCGATTGGGGCATACTCGACGACCTTCTCATCTCAGAGGATGTCAAGCGATACCTGGAGCTGCTCGGTCTCACGGTATTCGAGAATATTGCTCTGGAGACCTTTCCGAAGCTCACCCTCGAATTTTTTAGCACGGTTGCCATGCACGATAATGGGAAGTACCTTACTGCTCGGCT